CAAAGGAGATTATGATGTGTTTTTTTTTTCTTTCAGTTTGTTTATATGGTGGATCAAGTTGATGGATTTCCATATATTGAACCACCCCTGCATACCTGGGATGAAGCCTACTTGGTCATAGTGGATAATATCTTTGATGTGTTCTTGGATCCGGTTTGCAAGTATTTTGTTGACTATTTTTCCATCAATGTTCGTAAGGGAGATTGGCCTGAAATTCTCTTTATTTGTTGGGTCTTTGCGAGGTTTAGGTACCAACGTGACTTTGGCTTCATAGAATGAGTTTGGTAGTGTTCTTTCTGTTTTTATTTTGTGGAATAGTTTAAAGAGAATTGGAGTAGCCTCTTCTCTGAAGGTCTCATAGAATTTTGCACTGAAACCATCTGTCCCTGGGCTTTTGGGGGTGGGATAATATTGATGAGCACATCTTTTTCCTTAGGGGATATAGGACGATTTAATTGATTTATCTGGTCTTGATTCAGCTTTGGTAAGTGGAATCCATCAGGAAAATTGTCCATTTCATTTAGATTTTGAAGGGTATAGATTTTTGAAGTAAGTCACAATGATTGTTTGGATTTCCTCAGTGTCTGTTATTATGTACCCTTTTTTCATTTCTGATTTTGTTGATTTGGGTGGTGTCTCTGTGCCTTTTAGTTAGTTTGGCTAAGGGATTGTCTATCTTGTTGATTTTCTCAAAGAACCAGCTCTTGGTTTCATTGATTCTTTGAATTGTTTTATATGTTTCTAATTGATTGATTTCTGCCCTGAGTTTGATTATTTCCAGCGGACTTCTCCTCTTTGGTGTGTCTGCTTCTTATTTCTCCAAGGCTTTTAAGTGAGCCATTAACTTGCTTGAATGAGCTATGTAGAATTTATTCTTGAAGGCACTTAGTGCTATGAACTTTCCTCTTAGTACTGCCTTCATTGTATCCCACAAGTTTGGGTATGTTGTGTCTTCCTTTTCATTGAGTTCTAGGAAGACTTTAATTTCTTTCTTCATTTCTTCCCTGACCCAGCTGTCATTTAGTAGCAAGTTGTTCAGTTTCCATGTGTGTGTAGGCTTTTTTCTGTTGTTATCGAGGTCCAACTTTAGTCCATGTGGTCAGATAGGATACAAGGGATTATTTCAATCTTCTTATGTCTGTTGAGGCTTGTTTTTTGACCAACTATATGGTCTATTTTGGAGAAGGTTCCATGAGGTACTGAGAAGAAGGTAAATTCTTTTGTGTTTGGGTGAAAGGTTCAGTAGATATCTGTTAGGTCCATTTTATTAATGACTTCTGTTAGAGTTATTGTTTCTTTGTTTAATTTCTGGTTTTTTGACCTATCCTTTGTTGAGAGTGGGGTGTTGAAGTCTCCTAATATTACTGGTGGGAATCTATGTATGGTTTCCTTTTTATTAATGTTTCTTTTACAAATGTCGGTGCTCTTGTATTGGGGACATAGATGTTCAGGATTATGATGTCTTCCTAGTGGAATTTTGCCTTGATGAAATGTCCTTCCCCATCTTTTTTTATTAATTTTGGTTGAAAGTCTATTATATTAGATATTAGAATGGTTACACCTGTTTGCTTCTTGGGTCCATTTGCTTGGAAAACTGTCTCCCAGCCCTTTACTCTCAAATAATGTCTATTTTTATGACTTAGATGTGTTTCTTGTATACAACAGATTTTTGGGTCTTGTTCACACATCCGTTCTGTTAGTCTGTGTTTTTATTAGAAAATTGAGTCCATTGATATTGAGGGAGATTAATGACCAGTGGCTGTTAGATCCTTTGATATTGATGTTGGCTGTGATATTGTGTTTGTGTGTGTGGCTTCTTTTTGTTTTGCTGTAGTGAGGTTATTTATTTCCTGTGTTTTCCCAAAAGTAATAAGTTTTCTTGGATTGTATTTTTCCATTAACATAGTAAAAATGGCCATCTTAACAAAAGCAATCTACAGATTCAATGCAATTCCCATCAAATTACAAACATAAATCTTTGCAGACCTTGAAAGAAAAATTCTCACTTCATATGGAATAACAAGAAACCCAGAATTGCTAAAACAATCTCCTACAATAAAAGATCTTCTGCAGGTATTTCCACTCCTCATCTCAAGCTGTGCTATAGAGCAATAGTAATAAAAACTGCATGGTACTGGCATAGAAACAGAATGGTGGATCAATGGAATCAGATAAAAGACCCAGAAATAAATCCACACACTTATGGACACCTGATTTTTGACAAAGATGCCAAAACCATACAATGGAAAAAAGATAGCATCTTCAACAAATGGTGCTGGTCTAACTGGATGTCTAAATGTAGAAAAATGCAAATAGATCCATACTTATCACCCTGCACAAAACTAAAGTCCAAGTGGATCAAAGACCTCAACATAAAACCAGGCACTCAACCTGTTAGAAGAAAAAGTGGGGAACAGCCTTGAACTCATTGGCACAGGAGAGAACTTCCTGAACAGAATACCAACAGCAAAGGCTCTAAGAGCAACAATCAATAAATGGGACCTCATGAAACTGAAAACTTCTGTAAAGCAAAGGACATTGTCATCAAAATAAAATGACTGCCTACAGATTGGGAAAAGATCTTCACCAACCCTATATCTGACAGAGGGCTAATTTATTTAGAATGTATAAAGAACTCAAGAAGTTAAATAGCAACAAATCAAGTAATCCAATTAAAACATGTGATACAGAGCTAAACAGAATTCTCAACAGAGGAATATCAAATGGCTGAGAAACACTTAACGAAATGCTCGATATCCTTAGTCATCAGGGAAATGCAAATCAAAACGACCCTGAGTTTTCACCTTACACCCATCAGAATAGCTATGATCAAAATCTCAAGTGACAACACATGCTGGAGAGGTTGTGGAGAAAGGGGAACTCTTCTCCACTGCTGGTGGGAATGCAAACTTGTACAACCACTTTCGAAAACAATCTGGCATTTTCTCACACAATTAGAAATAGTGCTTCCTCAAGATCCAGCTATACCACTCCTAAGCATATATCCAAAAGATGCTCAAGTACACAGTAAGGACATTTGCTCAACCATGTTTGTAGCAGCTTTATTTGTAACATCCAGAAGCTGGAAACAGCCCAGATGTCTCTCAAAGGAGGAATGGATACAGAAATTGTGTTACATCTACACAATGGAATATTACTCAATGATAAAAAATAAGGAAATCATGACATTTGCAGGCAAATGGGGGCAACTGGAAAATATCATCCTGAGTGAGCTATCTCAGAAGCAGAAAGACACACATGGTATATACTCACTCATAAGTGGATATTAGACATATAATATAAGATACACCTACTAAAATCTGTACACCTAAAGAAACTAATCAAAAAGTAGGACTCTGGCTAAATGCTCAAACCCCATTCAGAAAGGCAAAGAAGATGGATATCAGAAGGAGAAAACAGAGAAAAGTACAGGAGCCTGCCACAGAGGGCCTCTGAAAGGCTCTACCCTGCTGGGTATCAAAGCAGATGCTGAGACTTATGGCCAGCATTTTGGCAGAGTGCAGGGAATTTCTTGAAAGAAATAGGAAATAATAAGACCCGGAGAGGACAGGAGCTCCAGAAGGACAGCAACAGAACCAAAAATTCTGGGCACAGGGATCTTTTCTGAGACTGATATTCCAACCAAGGACTGTTGATGGAGATAAACTAGAACCCTTACACAGATGTAGCCCATGGCAGTTCAGTGTCCAAGTGGGTTCCATAGTAATGTAAACAAGGACTGTCTCTGACATGAACTGATTGGCCTGCTCTTTGATCACCTCCCTCTGAGGGGGGAGCAGCCTTACCAGGCCACAGAGGAAGACAATGCAGCCACTCCTGATGAGACCTGATAGACTAGGATCAGAGGGAAGAAGAGGAGGACCTCCCTTATCAGTGGACTGGGGGAGGGGTATGAGTGGGGAAGAAGGAGGGAGGGTGGGGTTGGGAGGGGAGAGGGAGGGAGTAAAGAGGGATACAAAGTGGAAAAACTGTAATTAATAAAATTAAAAATAATTAATAAAAAATTAAAATGCTAAAATAGAAGCTCCAAAACACATGATCAAGCAAATATAAAGTTTCTTTGGTCAGATTATTTATGTTTAGAAAAAATGTTTAATTGTGTGGTTCTAATGTCTAATGATATTTATAACCACTTAATATGATTCCTCTGTTGGAAAATATACTAAAAAAACCAGACATTTAAAAAAAAATAATTTGGCAGTTTCTCATATGTATAATCTCACCATGTTATTAGCATCCCACTCTCAAAGAAAGCTAATGTTCACATAAAAACTTGAGCATGGTTGATGACAAGAGCTTTCTTCATAATATCTCCAAAGTGGAAAGGATTAGTTTTCTTTCACTGGTGGATGGGGATTGGATTTAAAAATGTGCATAAACAGATTAAAATATGAGTCAGTAATAACTAGGCATAAACTACTGATACAAGCAAATGGATGGATGAATCTACAAATACATTAGACCACTGTTTCTCAGCCTGTAGTTTGTGACCCCTTTGGTACACCTGTATCTTCAAAAATACTTCCATGTTTGTTCATAACAGTAAAAAAAAATAGCTATAAAGTAGCACCAAAAATAATGTTATGGTTGGGTATCACTACAACATGAGAAACTATTAAAGGTCACAACATTAGAAAGGTTGAGACCCACTGTATTCGAGTAAGAGATGAAAGATGCACTCAAAAGATACCTACTATATAATTCCATTCATATGACATTCAAAACTGGAAAATAGACTATTGGCTTAATGGGCCTTGCAAGCAAGGGGAGGAGGAGGCAAAGCACAAAATGGGCAGCTGGCAGGAGTTATTTAGAGCAAACAAAATTGTTTTGTATATTTATTGTGGTAGAAGTTGTATGATTGTATGTGTTTGTGAAACCCCACAGAGATACAGCCAAGCAAAGCAAATTTTACTATATGTAAAGTATACTTCAGTTTTTTTAATTGAAAAAACTAAGGTATGTAAAAGAACTCCAGAATGCTCACTTTGGCACCACATACACTAAAACTGAAATGATTACACAGATTAGCATTGCCCTTGTGCAAGCATAATGTGCAAAAGCATGAATCATTTTATATTTTTAAAAGGAACTAAAGGAATCCATCTACAAATCTAAACTACTTTATTGCTCATCCCAGTACATTTCACATGTATTTCATCATCTTTACTTAGCCTCATTCTCTCTGTCACATCTGCAGCTGGAGCAGAAAGAACTCTCTAGAACTTTATTTCCATGGACAGAACCTTCATCCAGGGCCTAGAGAAAAAAAATACATTCATGGCTGCTCAATGTTGTTTGTCTGTTTGTTTGAGATAGGGTTTCTCTGTGTAGCCTTGGCTGCCCCAGACTCACTCTGTAGACCAGGTTGGCCTTGAACTCAGAGATCCATCTGCCTCTGCCTCCCCGAGTGATAGGATTACATGCATGAGCACCACACCTAGCTGGCTGCTCAATTTTCAAAAACCTTCCTTCCCTGCCAAGAACCTCCTGAAAGAGAAGAAACAGGCAGGTCTGTGATGTAGACTGATGAGTTAAAAAAAAAAATTCATGGGTTGGAATTTTACCAAATTTGTCACTGCTTCCACAGAATGATCTTCAACAAATTCTTCATGTTTCTATCCTCAATGTTTAAGGAGAAAAAATAATCAACAACAAAACCCATGTCAAGTAACTTAAGAGACTTCCAAAAGCACAGGCAGAATAAAAAGAATTTACAGGAGCTGATGAAACATTCAGGTGTTAACAATGAGAAGCCACTAACACAAAGACCCTGCAATGGATCCAGTGATATATGGAGCTGTAGAGAAAGATTTTCCTGGCATGGATTGTGATCATGAAAGATGACCCAAAACCAAAATCATGGGCCCTAGTTGAGAGACAACAGGAAATAAAAAAAAAAATCTGCCATTTCTTTTCTATATCACTCCATGTTCTTATAGTTTCCTTTCATTGGCCAAGTCTAACACAAGATCTACTGGTGATGGAAGCTGTAGTGATGATGGCCTTCATGGTCAGCATCTAGATCAGGACCAGAAAGGGAAAGAGAATAGACCCTAAAAGGAATAAAATGGGCAGCAGAAACTAAGAATATCCAGGGCCTTATTATTTATCAAAGTCATACGGTTTTATAACTTTTGAAAACCTTTGAGCACTGTGGAAACTCCCATTCATATTCTTCAGAAACCCCACCTTTATATGGAATAATTCATAATTCCTCAAAAATGTGATTCTCTTCACCCTCTAGGCAGAACTTTGTCTTTGATCCAGGTAAACTAGATTTTACTCAGAATCAGAAGAGCTTGCAAATTGTCAAAAAAATATTTTATATACTTTTAAAATTTCATTTAATTTACTTTACATCCCAAGGATACCCCCTCCCTTCTCTCCTCCCCGTTACCCTCTTCCTCTCCTGCTCCCTTCTGTTCTTCATTTCTCCCCAGAAAAAGGAGCCCCTCCCCCATATCAACCCTCCCCAGCACATCAAGTCACATCAGGACTAAGCATATCCTCATCCCCTGAGTCCAAGCAAGGAAGCCCTGCTAAGGGGAAGTGATCCAAAAACAAGCAATAGAGGCCATATTAGAAACAGTTCCTCCCCCTCTACTCACCAAGCAAACCACATGAAGAACAAGCTGCCCATTGGCCACATATGTGCAAGGAACCTAGGTTCAGACTATGCATGCTCCTTAGTTGATGACTCAGGCTCTGTAAGCCCCCATGGGACTGGGTTAGTTGACTCTGTTGGTCTTCTTGTGAGGTTCCTGTTACCTCTAGGTCTTTCCATCTTTCCCCCAACACTTCCACAGGACCCCCAGAGCTCTGCCCTATGCTTGGCTGCAAGTCCCAGCATCTGTCCTGATCCACTGCTGGCCACCATACAACAAAGACATTTGCTCAACTATGTTCATACCAGATTTAATCATAATAGCCAAAAACAGGAAACAACCTAGATGTTCCTCAACCAAAGAATGGATACAGAAATGGTGGTACATTTATACAATGGAATACTACTCAGCTATTATTAACAATGAAATCACGAAATTTGCAGGCAAATAGATGGAACTAGAAAAGATCATCCTAAGTGAGGTAACCCAGACCCAGAAAGATGCACATGGTGTGTCTCAATTATAAGCAGACCTGTAGTACAGGATAACCATACTACAATTCACATTCCTAAAGAAGCTGCATAGCAAGGAGGGTTCCACGGAGGGTGCTTTAATATCACTCAAAAGAGAAAATATACTAGACAGCAGAAGTAAAAGAAGAGAGGGAACTAGGCAGGAGATGGAATGTGGAGGGAAACAAAGTTGTGGATCAGATGTGAAGAGAATGAGTGTAGGGGGTGACAAGGCTGGAAACAGAAATAAAAACTGAGGGGTTGGAGACATCTCTTTGAAAAAGTCTTTTAGAGTGATTATTGGTTGCTTATCAAAGATTTAGCCAGTATGCTACAAAAGAATAAAAATATGAATGAATCTTTGCCTTTTGAGTTACAGATAAGGGTTCCAAATATTTGTTCCAGAAAAGGTTGCAGCTGTCTAGTAGGACTTCCTTTCCTGTTCTAAACCTTGGGTATAAAATTATGGCTATAGATACAAATAGAAGAGGGCATGAAGTAGACTGTCTAGAATCATTTTAATATGTTTTCACTGTATATATGATGTAGGTCTTTCCTGATGCTAACTCTGTAAGAAGCTATAAATAAAACATATACAGTTCTCATGGATCAGTAGGATTAACATAGTGAAAATGGCCATTCTGCCAAAAGCAATCTACAGATTCAATGCAATTCCCATCAAAATATCAACACAATTCTTTACAAACTTTAAAAGAAAAATTCTCAACTTCGTATGGAAAAGCAAAAAACCCAGAATTTTTAAAACTATCTTGTACAACAACAGATCATCTGGAGGTATCTCCATCCCTGATCTCAAGCTGCATTACAGAGTAATAGTAACAAAAACTTCATTGTATTAGCATAGAAACAGAATGGTGAATCAATGGAACCGAGAATAGAAGACCCAGAAATAAATCCACACAGCTATGGATACATGATTTTTGACAAAGAAACCAAAACCATTCAATGGAAAAAAACAGCATCTTCAACAAATGGTGCTGGTCCAACTCAATGTCTACATGAAGAAAAATGAAAATAGATCCATATTTATCACCCTGCACAAAACCAGAGTCCAAGTAGATCAAAAACCTCAACATAAAACCAGAAACACTAAATCGGTTAGAAGAAAAAGTGGGGAAGAGCCTTGACCTCATTGGCACAGGAGAGAACTTCCTGAAAAAAACACCAACAGCACAGGCTCTAAGAGCAACAATCAATAAATGGGACCTCATGAAACTGAAAGCTTCTGTAAAGCAAAAGACACTGTCGTCAGAACACAATGACAGCCTACTGGTTGGTTCACCAACCCAACATCTGACAGAGGGCTGATATCTGGACTATATAAAGAACTAAAGAAGTTAGGCAATAATTCAAGTAACCCAAACAAAAAAATGGGGTTCAGAGGTAAACAGAGAATTCTCTAGAGAGGAATACCGAATGGCAGAGAAACACTTAAAGTAATGCTCAACATCCTTAGTCATCAGGGAAATGCAAATCAGAACAACCCTGAGATTTCAGCTCACACCCATCAGAATGGCTAAGATCAAAAACTCAAGTGACAACACATGCTGGAGAGGATTGCAGAAAGGGGAACGCTCATCCATTGCTGTTGGGAGTATAAACTTTTACAACCACTGTGGAAATCAATCTGGCTCTTTCTCAGACAATTAGGAATAGTGCTTCCTCAAGATCCAGCTATACCACTCTTAGGCATATATCCAAAAGATGCTCAAGTACAGAACAAGGACATTTATTCAACCATGTTCATAGCAGCTTTATTCGTAATAGCCAGAACCTGGAAACAACCCAGATGTCCATCAATAGAGGAATGGATACAGAAATTGTGGTACATCTACACAATGTAATACTACTCAGGAATTAAAGACAAGAAAATCATGAAATTTTCAGGCAAATGGTGGGAACTGGAAAAGATCATTCTGGGTGAGATATCCCAGAAGCAGAAAGACACACAACATATATATTCACTTATAAGTGGATACTAGACCTAAAAGATAGGATAAACATACTAAAATCTGTACACCTGAAAAGCTAAACAAGGAGGAGAACCCGGGGTAAAATGATCAATCCTCACTTATAAAGACAAATAGGGTGGACATTGGAAGTAAGAGAAAACAAGAAACAGGACAGGAGCCTACCATAGAGGGCCTCTGAAAGACTCTACCTAGTAGTGTATCTAAGCAGATGATGAGACTCATAACCAAACCCTGTGCAGAGTGACGGGAATCATGTGAAAGAAGGGGAAGTTAGTAAGACCTGGAGAGGACAGAAACTCCAAAAGGACCAAATATATCTAGCACATGGTTCTTTCCTGAGACTGATTCTCCAACTAAGGACCATATATGGATATAACCTATAACCCCTGCTCAGATGTAGCCCATGGCAGTTCAGTATCCGAGTGGGATCCCTAGTAAGGGGAACAGTAACTCTCTCTCTGACATGAACTCAGTGACTGGCTCTTTGACCTCCCCTCCCCCGAGGGAGGAGCAGCCTTACTAGACCACAGAGGAGGGAGGATATTACATCCAGTCCTGATGAAACCTGATAAGCTAGTGTCAAATGGAAGGGGAGGTGGCCCTCCCCTATCAGTGGACTTAGAGAGGGGCAAGGAGGAGATGAGGAAAGGAGGGTGGGATTGGAAAGGAATGAGGGAGGGGACTACAGCTGGGATACAAGGTAAATGAACTGTAATTAATATAAAAATAAATATTTAATTAAAAAACATATACAGTTATATGTATATATTTTCAGAGCTAAACCACAAGCTACATGGCAAACCATATCATTTCACATTGAGCAGTCTATTTCCAGTCCTTGATGAACTGCTTAGCACTAACAAATTATCACACCTACTGTGTTTTTTTCCACACTTTCCAAACTGAAACTCTTTATTCTTTTCAGCTCAGACAACTCTTCTTAATCTGTGTATTTTTCCAGCCACAATAG